CTTCGGCTGTTACTGACCGCAACAAAAACGCTCGATATAGTCTATCCGAAACTGCAGACCTATTGGATGTACTCTGACCAAGCCAATAAGCAGTTTTTTAAATAATCAACCACGAAATTGACACACTCGAGTATCTTCTACCGTTATTTGCCACACTGAGGGCAACCGGGTCAAAAAAACTAAATAATCAGTCAGCAATGTTCCCCTGCCTGTACTACTAGCTGCTTTGTGACTGCTGGCGGGGTCGAGAGTGAGCTCCAAGGCCCCGAGAACTATCAGTGGGCGTTAATCAACGGAGGAAATAACACCCCAGACTGCCAGTAACGATCGAGTAACGACGTGTCACAAAGTAGTTGAAGTGAATCTGTCCCTTTTTACTTCCAATAGTAGTGGCTGTTATGCGTTAAGTTCTAATACAGTCCTCCAACTACCCTTGACATGGAGACCGCATACACCAAAGCTGAGTAAGGCAGATAGTATTGGCGGCAAATACAAGGGGGACTGGAATGGCCATTTCTGGCTTATTAGCTGTCGTCAGCCAACCCCAAGTGGCACACCACCAGAGGCTCGAAATCGCGACTTTTTCGGTCAAAGTCTAAGGTTCTTGACATTGAGCTGTGAGCTCGTCGTTTTGCCAGTTTAGGTTGGGCGATACTGAAAATCATTGATGAACTTTAACCGATCACCGTCAATACTATCTGCCTAAACTACTAGCCGCTGCGCGGTTACTGTCAGGGCCCGAGAATGAGACCCAAGGCAAAACGGGACAAGTGAGTTCCGTTAGCGATCGATGAGCACTCATCAACGACTATCAAGGTCAAATAAGTTAGAAATAGGGTGAGAATTAAGGCTCCAAAAGATACCCACTAAAATAGCGACAGCTAGTCCAAAGCCTTATATGACGGGGCATTCAGGGAACGGAAAAGAAGGCGAGGTAAAAGGGGTGGCCCGTCTACGCCGTGCTTTGGTGAGAAGAAAAATTGTGACGAATATAGGGTTTTAAATCAGTGACAGCAGGCGCTCTTACCTGACAGGCCTTAGTCAGCTCCGAAAGCGCGAGAATAGGGTGGCTCTGAAGTTTCTCCCGGACAAAATTTAAGATGACAGGATCATGATCCATCCGGTACTGGACTGGTCCTGTCTCCGTTTCCTCCTCCGGTTGGTCACCAGACGGCCTCGGTTCCTGCGTTGCTTCCTCCACCCGGTCGCCAGAGGGGACGGACGGGGTCTGATCTTTCATCACAGCGTCTTCCACCAGCCCCGGCTTCGATGGTGTCGCCTCTTCCTGGTTTGCCGCCTCCGTCGCTGAAGTCTCTTCCGTTGCAGGGTCCGCCACAGTAGAGAGATGCTTCGGAGATGGTGGCTCACGTTTAAACGCGTTGGGATCTTTGCCTAGCTGTACAGCTGTCGGAGAAAAATCAGAGAGGGAGAGTAGTTCATGAAATCCACCATTGTGTGACGGTGCAATAAGTTCACGAGTGGTTGGGCCACATTGCGTGAATTTCAAGCTCACAGCACCGGCTCTGAACGGCTACTAGCAAACAAAGCCGACTGGGTTCAAGTTCACACCGTCTAAGGAGCGGCCGGTATAGAAAAGCGACGCTAAGGTCATTCTGGTGGGCCACTCAACGGGCTGAATTTGGCCAGTGAGAAGACGGCTAATCACTGAAGTTTCTGGGACATCCTTTATTCGGCTGCACATAGGCGCAGCGGAACCCTTAATCGGGATTGCTGTTACGGACATCCAGAGCAATGTCTGACACACAGATAACTTCCTCCCCACAGCAAACATCTAAGATACTACCTTAAACGGGTGTTTCCGTGAAAAAGAAGTTTTACGGCTTCACCGGTAAAATGAAATCTCTATCTGTATACTTAATAAAAGTGAGATGTCCGTCTGTCGTGTGTGCCTCCG